ATGCTGTTCCTTCATCTAAGCTTTCAGCTCATATGAGCCATCTTCAGAGTGGTTATATGGGCATTTAAACAAAGATATTCACTATCAAAGATGATATTCTATTATGTTGGCATAAGAGATTGTTATATGATGACAACAGTCACAGAATTGCAGACACAGGTTTCTGTTCTATGACGTATCATGCGAGAGAATGAATTATTAGCAACAAAACCATATGTCTAGATGCAATGTAATGTGACTAGTTTGAAATGTAATTTTGTTGAGTGTGGGTTGCTTCATTTTAATGCAGATGCCCCCCAATATCTGAAGGTTCTTTTTACAATGTGTATGTCTGAGTATTATTGTGTTATCAACTAATATCTGCCTAATATTATGTACATCGCTATGTTTTTCTAAGAAATGTTGTTTAATAGAACTAAGATCAGAAATGTGACTGGTAAGTCTACAGGAGAGCGTGGTGGTAGTAAAACCAATATATGTAGTGGGTTTATTATTACTATCAGAGATACAATCTCTGAATAGGCATGTAAATTCGTACACTACATTGGTTTTTTGTAGAGGATTTATTTGTGTGTTTGTAGGGTTATTAGAGACTATGAGATCAATTGTTTTAAATTTTTTATAATATATGATGAGCTTAACCTGTTTATTATTGTTAATGGGTTTAATATTTCTACCTATTATATATATATATATATATATATATAAATTTTTATGTATAAAAAATAATGTTGCGGGAGAAAAATGTATGACAAAGTGGAAAACGGATTTGTAAGACACATTTTGTCCTTTAGGACTTCATCTAAATGAAATCAGCTAAATTATATACAAAAAAAATCAAATTTTAATTTTAAAATTCCCATCATCTTTAGTATGTGCACATGTGTAATGATACAAATGTAACAAATTTAGTCTGATGAAGTCCTAAAGAATGAAAAGCATCACACAAAATCTTTTTTCCATTTTGTCTTATATATATATATATACAGCTGGCCACCCATATTTGAGAATACCCATCTATTAGGGCAGCTAGCCAATCCCTATTGCAGACGTTCGCTCAGGCATATTTATGTTTATTCAACACCCACAGATCCCACCTGTGGTTTATACTGCAACTATGCTGTGCAGACCTTAGTTACAGTTTCTGGAAAAGAGCGTGTTATCTAAGCTGATCAACAATCTGATCAAAGTTAGCACACTCAAACCCTCGATTACAATGACTTGTGACTTTGTGCTAGCATAGCTATCGAAAGCCCTCAAGTGTTCTGTCGACCCAATTTCATTCACAAGGCTTGGGTCAACCCATGGTATTGTTTTCAGGCACTTTCCAAAGGTGCCACACGCTGGGTTCAGTCCCTCCACACTGATAACATCAAACATCAAGAAGTCTCTTTCCTAACAAATCAACCATGGTGAGATTCGAACCCAGGTCTCATGATCAAAAAGCAAACATTCTAACCACTATACATGATGTGCCTATATATATATATATATATATATATATATATATATATATATATATATATATATATATATATATATATATATAAAAGTGATAGAAATTAAAGGATTTGAGATAATCATAAATTAAAATTATGATTATCTCAAAACCTCCTAAAACAGATCACTTTTATATCAAAACTTGAATGGCTCTAATGCTCCAGTTGGATGGCTTGTTGATAAATTGTGGCTCAGCAAACAAACAGTCCTGTATGGATAAGGAAACTCAGATGAGTTCCACCATGGAATACATGATCAAAATTTCTATAATTGAGTCTAATTCACTACCTTTTCATCACCAAGGCCCATTGGTACAAATTGGTATGATGTTTGTCTCATTTCGTGGGACAGTCCAGATGTTTCAATTCTCGGTACTGGATGCACACTGCTGATGAGCCCAAATATAGGATGAAATGGCCATCCAGTGCTTTCTGCATTCTGTTGATGTTTCATTAGACTCAATGAATTACAAATTTTTCCATTATGTATATATATATATATATATATATATATATATATATATATATATATATATTTCATACTATCATTGAATATGACAGACAACCAAAGCTTTGATTTACTTTTTTATACAATTTCTCATGTGATCTAATAATTTCTTTCTTTTTGGATGCTTAATTATATAAAAACTGTCCAATTGTGTTTTTTATCCGAGTGCTTTTGGCTATACATTTAGCCATTTTAAAGGTTAAAATATATTAAATGTTAACAAGAAATAGATTGTTGCATATATGTATTTATATAATGTTTTTATTTTCAAAACACAGTCAAGATATTGTGTCCATGTTCATAGTTGATATTACTAAGTGTTGGTGTTTTTGTCTTTATTAATAAAAATCATCCGAAAAGAAAAAAAATTATTTGATCACATGAGAAATTGTATAAAAAACTAAATCAAAGCACCTTGTCTATCGTATTCAATGAAATGTGCATGAAAGAAGGATTGCTGCCTAAATACACAATATATATACAAATATATAATTATTTATTTAAAAATTATAACATAAATATGTTATAAAATCACTACAAATATAGCCATTTTGTTTCAACACCTCTGGTATCTTATCAAGTGATGATGTTGAATGTAGATTGTAGAATAAAGGTTTTAAAAGGTTCAAATTAATTAACCACACCTTGTAAGGGGAAACGCTGTCACATGAGCTGAAATGACCAATCAAAATACAAGTATACAAGAATTCAAAAAACATGACAACGAATCAGGTTATAATAACTATTAAATGCTTTAAAGTTAGGTTTATACTAAAATAGAATTTATTCTAACTAATAAGTATTAAATTGTATGATAAAATTTGAAATTAAAATTAAAAACTACCCATTTCAAAAATGTAAATTTAATCTATATTAAGTTTAAAATTTTAAAATTATAAAAGGAAAAAAGAAAAAATACATATGTTATGCTATTCATTTTGTTTTTATTGAAATTACGTTGGAATAAACATTTTTAATAAACATCATGATTTTTAAATACACCAATCATATACTTATATATGTGTGTGTGTGTGTGTGTGTGTGTGTGTGTGTGTGTGTGTAGCAAATTCTTTTTTTGGCTCTTTTGATATAGAAATATTTTTAGTTCATCATTTTTATTGATTTTTTATTTTTATTTAAAATTATAGATATTGACTGAATCATTTGTTTTGTTTTTAGAAGCTTCAGTCAGTCAGTTATGTGCCATGCATGATGCATGTATAGATGATCATGTATCTTTTGATACATGACTGACAAGTAGGTTATAAAGAAGTCTATCCATCTTCAAAATCACATGGAAAGAACTATACCAAATAACAGAAACCACATCACTTGAGGACTACCAACAGCAGCAACAACTAAAATGGATAGCACATGTAACTTGATGAGAAAATAATGACATCATCAAATGCTGAATTTCCACACTATTTTAAACATAAGAAATATCCGTACTAGAAAGACCAATAACAGTCAACTGAGAAGCCTATTTTGTGGGAAAATGAAGGATTTTATGAATTTCAACTGGCAATAATGGTCAATGAATGCCAAATATTTCCATATGAGGAAACAGTTAATTTCACTGTAAGAATACAGAAGGTGCTTATTTCCCTTTGGTAGAGATACGTCATGTGGATCACATGACAGCTGTTTAGTGATGTCATTCCATACAGTGACTATAGCAACAGTCAATTTCAGTCTGTTTACAGCAGTCAAATGAAAAGATTGCTTTCTTTATACTGGGACATAAATATGTCTACCATACAGCTTACAAGTCCATGTTGCTATTTCCCTTTGAGGATATATCTTTCCTAGATACAAAAAGAAACTCCTGCTCACAATTCTCAATTTCAGAAAACCCAAAACTCACTGTCTCCTGTTCACGGAATATGTTACCTCCTGGAGCATAGATGAATCCAGTCTATTTGTACCTGGAGTTCTAAACATATCTTCTCCAGACACAGGAGTATCTCCATATTATATGTAAGACACTCCTTTTTGTTTCTCCTTATACTCTGCTTTGCTGTGTAGATATAAGTTATATATTATTCTCTGCATGCATGTGCATATATGTATATATAGTTTTGTGTATGTCTTAGTGTATAAACATTTCTCTGAGAACAAAGCATGTTTGTCATTCTTTTTCCTTTCAGCCATTCTGTTCCATCCGTGAAGTATGGTGTTATTATATTACTGATATAATAATGCCCATAATGAGGGAAATAGAAATGGGAGAATAAATCTTTCTTCCATAGCCCTCTCCTATTGAATCACCATTACCACTATGACATCAAAGGCTTATCTCCTCTTTTCCCATCAGACAAAAACACAGACTGAAATTAAATTTACATTAACCTGGTACAAAGTCACAAAGGTATATCACATAGTGAGGATTGAACTCCCTCCAGTAGACATGATTGGCTTTGCTCTATGGCAAGCTATTCTTGCTTTTGTGAAGCCATTGTATAGCAACTGACAAATGTGTTGAATTCAAAGATGGAATCAACTGTGTTTGTTGAGAGTTCTAGAAAATGCTAACAAAGTGAAATTACTCTGTCTCCTTATAACCAATGTGTATCATTTTGTTTTTTGGTTCTGTTTTTTTGGCATTGCAATACAGCAACTGTGTAAATTTAGAATACAAATTGCATTTCTTTGTCTTCCGCATGATTGATGAGAAAAACACTAGAGAGAGAAAACAGTGATAACAGCATTTACAAATTGCTTTTGCTTTTTGTTGTTATTAAAGCTGGTTTTGCTGTAGAAAGAACTTTGGCAAGGTTTTGAACCTGCTCATCTCTTCCAGGTGTCCCTAAAATATTTTAACACCTAACACATTTGTAGAATCCTCCACCCATCATGAAGACACCCCTTACCCAACTCCAGATAGGTCTTGCAACCTGTCAGTCCAGAAGTATTTCTACATATTGAGGTCTTCTGTTAATACAAGTAGCAAGATTGTATCAATCGCCAGCTTGCTAGGCCTGTCTTATAGTATACAGCATCTGGTATTCCTCAGAAGTCACCCATCTAAGTTCTGACTAGGCTCAATGTTGCTTAACTTTGGTGATCAGATGAGAACCAGTGTCTCAACATGAAATGACCATAAATTCCCATCATGAACACATTTTTTTTTTTAATTAAAAAAAAGATAGAAAATAAACAAGAAAAAAAACTGGAGTTAAATCATATATATATATATATATATATATATATTTATATATATATATATTGTTTCATTTGTATAGAATATATTTTATATCTAATCTAAGCCATATATTTTTTTCTAATGTCTATATTTTTTAATTTGTTTTAAACTTCCCAAACAAAAGGAAAAAATAAAAATGGGATGACTAGTTTAAATATAAAAATTTCTATATATAAAACATCCCATAGAAAAAATGCTTAAATCTACTAAAAAAAACACCTAATAAATGCCAAAAATTAAATTACCTCTATCTACACATAAAATCATTAAAATATGCCAACTAATTAACAAAAAGCAATGTTTCTTTACTTTTAATAACCAACATTACAGACAGAAATTTGGTTTACCAATGGGATCTCCTCTCAGCGGCGTTCTTGCTTGTCTTTTTTTAGAATTTCTAGAAAGTGACTCATTCAAAAATATTCTCCCTACAAACTCTTCATATTTCAGATACATAAATGACTCATTATTAATAATTCCAAAAAACACCAACTTAATGGATCTTCTCTCCAAACTTAACAACATTGAACCTACAATAAACTTCACTTTCAAAACTGAAACCAACTACACTCTTCCGTTCCTGGACATTTCGTTACATAGAAATAATAACGAACTCAATTTTGATGTTTACAGAAAGACTATAAACAAAAATGATCTGATTAGTTTCTACTCAAACCACTCTTCTAAAATTAAATCTGGAATTATTATAGGTTTCTATCTAAGAGTATTAAGTATCTGTAGTCTCCAATATTTACTTAAAGAAGAAACATACATAGAAAACACATTCAAAAACCTACAATACCCATATCATTTCATCCACAATGCAAAAAGAAAGGCATACAAAATATACAACCAAAACAAAACTAATAACATAATCCGCAATAGTAAATTACATGAAAACAGATACATAATACTACCGACCAACTCTGTCACGTCCACGATCCAGAATAACCTATCCCATCTAAATAATCTTGAAATAGTCACAAACACTTCCAAAACCATTATAGATATACTAAGATCTTCAAACACTAATAGCAACAATATTTCTGAAGCAGGCATTTATAAAATAAATTGCCAAAACTGTTCCAACCCAATATATTGGAGAAACAAGTAGAAATTTAAAAAAAAGCATTTATGAGCACAAAAAGACCTCACAAAAAACAACTTAGCTAATGCACTAGTCATACATAGAAATAAATTCAACAATAATTTTGAGTTTAAAAATGCTACACTCATAAAAAAAGAAAATAACTCACTCAGAAGGAAAATTCTGGAGAGTGCTGCCATAGAATATTACCCAAATATTAATCTATGCCCAGGCTTTTTCCCTATTTCACCTTTCTTAACAAAATTAACTGCTCTCCCAAACAAACGTACACAATATCGTAAAATCAAAAGAAAATGGTTGAATCCGTCAACACAGCTATAATGACAATATTCTCCACACGTGACACTAGCTGACGTTATTTTCAGTTAACAATATGAAAATTGCATTCTCTACATTCCTCCAGTTGCTAAAAACATTCTGTTTTTGTTATCATTAGTTACTTTCTGTAATTAAATTCATTTCATTTTTTGCTTTGAGAAAGTCCACATTGGACAAGACACGTCAGCAATAACTACAGTTTTCCTATTGTCATTTATATTTATAAATATTGTCTTTTCTACAGGTTAACTGCAACGCACATAGTGCCCTTTTTCAATCCTACATGTCACGGAAACTTTTACTTAAAATGTCATTCCTTTATTAGATATATGTATTTGAGTAGACGTCCCTGTAGGGGAAACCATTGTATTTTGGCATTCATTTTTTGAAATTCAGTCACAAAGGACTTTCACAGTCAAGTCAAGTTCAATTAGCTTCCATTAAGAAGGCCATTTTCTTTTTGTCCAGATTGAGAAAACATTTTTTAGGACCGTTCTTGCAATAGGCAAAACACTGTGATAATAACAAGAACAAAGACGAGGATATTAAATAATGACCTGTTTTTATAATGATTTATCAATATCTTCTGTGGTTGTGGCTGCAAGTGTGCAGCACAACTAAGGATTGAACTCTCTTTCAGTCATAATTAATCCAGTAAATGAGCTTGTTAACCATTACACTTTGTAGAAGTGCCCATCTTCTTGGTCTTATAGTGATTTACTGAGTGCAAAATCCTATGGCATTCCAGTGAGGATCAGGCACAAACATCAAATCGTAATTGATTGAGAAAGACAAGTTCCTTTAAGATTAACTATTACACTACATCAAAGTTTTATCTCCTGGGTCTTATACATGAAATAGATATCTGGTAGGCTAATTTTTATTTAACATTGTTGAACTACTAATTTGATTAATTAAGAGGTTTAAGATATAAAAGAGGTTAACATTAAATGTTAATAATTAGGTAGGATTTTTATATATCATGAAATATTGTAATTTTTATTCAGTAATTTTTTGCTGTTCAAATAAAACACAAAATACATATGTAGTATATGATGTATATGAATAATACACTGATCCATCAAATAAGTCATTATTTATAAAAATTGAAAATAGGTTTTAAGAAAAAGATTATTTATGTAAGAACATTATTATGGTTGTTAATTATTTGTATTGGATCAGTTTCTAAAAGGAATAATTCTGTTTTCTCTAAACAAAATATCTTATTCAATGGAAGAGGTTGTGAAGATTGCATATGGAAGAACTGTCTCATGACAAACTGATATTTCTTTGTATTATTATATATAAATAGCATTATTTATTTAAAACATTTGGTAGGTAATAATAGACAGCATGTCAAGACAGGGAGGCCCTATATTTTGGGAAGATTAGTGCACATTTGGTAACATTTATTTTCATATCTGAAATGTAAACAAGTTAATTTCTAAGGAATTAATGAATTTTATTTATAATCTGACAGTATTTCTCTTTACTTCAAACATTATATTTACCGAATATCCAATAAATAATCCAGTAATTCTTTAGAAATCATATATATATATATATATATATATATATATATATATATATATATAATCCATTGAAATAAACCATATATATATATAAAGTATGCAAGTCAGCTTCTGGATTAACAAGACACATGAAAATTTACATTGATGCTGTGCTTTTTGGGCTTGGGGATCTCCATTTCAGGTGCAACATTTTCAAAAAAAGCTTGTAAAAGTAAGGCTGGTTTAAAAAGTCATCTGTGCTCTCATGATCAGTGAGTCCGAAAAGGTAAATAAAAGAAAGAAAGAAATTTCTTGTGGAAATGTTCTATCAAGAAGTGACAATCACCATATATATATATATATATATATATATGTATGTATGTATTTTATAACCTGCAAATTGATTTGTTTTTTACGCTGTATCAACCATTTGCTTGATAAACTAAAAAACAAATTGATCAATATATATATATACTGCACAAATAATAATCAAGAGGGTTACAGTCTGGGGAGTTAGATGGCCAGATGTAAAGGATGATGTGGTTAGAAAATTGCCTGACAGCCATGACAGGGTTCTCCTGCTTGTGTGGCATGGTGCAGAGTCCTGTTACCAAACACATTGTCTTCCAGCAGCCACCCTCTTGACCTAGGGCAGCACTACCTCCTCAAGGCACTTGATGTATGTCTCCGTGTTGAGTCTGAGACCCTTACCAACAAATTTAGGAGTTCTTTTCTTATCAGAATGATCAGAGTGAGTTTTCCAAGCTGTCATACCTTCATAATCACCATTCGACTCCTTCTGAATCCACAGATTGACACTCAAACACTCTGAAATGTTTGTATTGGAGCTTCAGCATGAATGCCAAACATGAATTATGCAGTTTCTAAATTTCTGGTAAGTATATTGCATCATGGTATATTTTTTCTCACAGACACTGTAAAACACACACAAAATCAAAAAATTAACATGGGAAATTAAAAAGTATAAAATGGCAGCAATTTACCCATTGTGCCTATGCAGGCATACATATATATGTATCCAGGATATAAATATATATATATATATATATATATATATATATATATATATATACTAGCAGTATAACCCATCTTCAACCAGGTGTTTTATTACTGGGAATTTTTGCTGTTCAATTGGAGCAGTTTAAGTTTAAAGTCAGTTCACCCCAAAATAATATTAGTAACAACAGTTTGGTGCAACTGAGACACATCCCCAAATTGGCGGGCGAGGGATTGGCTTTAACGATTTGAAAAGGGCCATTTTTATGTTCTCAATTTTGCAAGGAAGGAACCTCTTCCAAGGACCGTCATAATAATATATGATAATTTTTATTTATAATATAATTTTTTTTATAATTCTAATAAACTTTTGCATTAGATTTCAACCCTCTAAAATGATTGTATGCTGGTTTTTACAGACATTAAATTTTACCTTTGATTTTTGCGCAAAGTGTAAAAAATCAGTTTTTTTCGATTTTTCACCTTCAATGTTGTAATTTTTTCCAGCCAATTTGGACTCAAAACTGGCACAGAAGAATTATCTATCAAACAAAAAAAATTTCATCAAATTCAGATGAATTCTGTGAAAACGCATAAACAAGATGCAATCACACATTTTGAGAATTATATAGATAAACAGATAGTAAATAGTAAAACGTTGCTGAAGTTATAATGGACAGGAAGTAGTGGAGAGCCATTATCGCCAAAAACTTGGACTCAAAACCAGTACTAAAGAATTATCTATCAAACAAAAAAATTTCATACGCACACATATTTTGAGAATTATATATATATATATATATATATATATATATATATATATATATGGCTGTAAACCCTATATATACCACCTTAATCTGTCAGTAATGCTCACATTAATTTCTGACCACTGGCTATACCTTTTTTCTTGATATTTTAATGCACCTCATTCAGACTAAAAGGCA